GTCTGAATGCGTTTATGGCCATATCATATATTCCGGGCCGGCCGTTCCTCCCGGACGGACGGAGGGCCCGTCGCGCTGACGTTACAGAATGAGGCAGAAAACGCAGTCTTGAGAGGGCTCTGCTCTTGTGTTCCAAAACTTTGAACTCATCCTCAGAAATAAGTCACCATACATTCGTGCCGGCTGAAGGATTCCCCAGTTTTGCTGTAGGGACGTTAAAGGAGGAAGGAACGGGTTAGTGGCCGCTGCAATCTGAGCTGGAGTTTGGGGGTGTTCTGGGTGGGGCTGTGTTGCTATGGCCAGCCGGGACGGGGTCAGGTATCTTTCTGTGGGGTCCCGAAAGGTGAGCAGGGGTCCTAGGGGAAGGCTGTCCTCCAGAAAGAGAGGGAGCCTCCGGTCGGAGCGTCTGGGATGACAGGTGTGTTTTGGATGCGAGTCAGCAGGGAGGCAGAGGGGAGGAGAGGCCTGGCAGGCCCCTGTGGGAGGGTTTGCTCTCTCATGGACTTGAACTCCAGCCTTTGACTCCGGAGTCTGCCCTCTCTCTTCTCTGCCATGATCACTTCTCCAGGTGGGGGTGAGAAGGGACAGAGGGCAGAGACGAGCGGGACCCGACTGGGCGAGGCCTTGCACCTGGGAGGGCTCAGGCGGAAAGGGGGTGCCCAGAGGGGGCACAAACACTTGGCGCTGTGTCATTCCTTCATCCTGCACCAACTCCCCCCTCATCCTAAAACCCGGCCTCCGTCCCCCTTGACCTCCACGCAGAGCGGTCTGGGTCATCTTTGGTCGCCTGCATTGCAGGGTTCTCCAATGGGCCTTCTTTCGGAAGCTAGGTGACCTGTCACATAGCATCTCCGCAGGCCCCTTCACGTCCTCTCCTCGCGGCACGGGGCCGAGTCTGAACTGGCCCCTGTCGCTGTGCTGCTCACACTGCCCCCGTCCACCTGTGCTCGGCCTCTGCAGGGACCTGTGTTCCCAGTCACACAATGGGTGTCAGGCCTGGGTGCACCGTCCCCTTCTGCCCCTCTGAGACGGACCGGAGACAGAACGTCCCCCTTCCTGTCTCTGTTTGAAGCCGCCGTCTTGCCCACTCGGGTCGGTCACCTTGTAATCAGCGCAGTGCCGCTTACCTGCGTCCCTACCTGCCCGCGAGTTTCTCCAGGTTGCCGACCTGTCTACTTCACCTTCAGCCTCAGCTCCAAGCAGGAACGAAATATTTCTGCCCTGTATCCACACTCGATTCTTTAGCTTCGTTTAAGGCAAAACCGTGCGTCCGGAAGAGGACAGCTCTCCGTTTTTCAGAGGAGGCCCAGGACAGGCAGAGCTATTCGCCTGTGGCTTAGGACAGACCCTGCTGTCTGAGCCTGGCCCCGAGACCCTGAGGCCCCCGGCTGCAGGCTGCGTCTCTCCCAGCCTGGGGTGGCCCGGGTGGCGGTCGATCAGGCTCTCGGGCAGTTGGAGGTCGTTAGAGGAGTCATCTGCCATCCCTGCCAGATCTGCTCTCTCTATAAAACCGTCCTGGGCTCCGTGGGGCATGGAGACACGAGTGGGCTTGGTCGCTGCATCCAGCAGTTCGATCCCCTGAGGAGGTGGGAGATATAAACACAGACACTCTCTGTGGCCTTAGGGTGGTCAGCTCAGAGCCCAGTGAGGTGCCCGTCAAGTACTGGGGGGGTCAAAGAAGAGGGAACAATGAATTTTCCTTAAGGACAGGGAGGGACAGGCACCAATGGGCCACAGAGCAGCATTGTGTCCACGAGGAAAGAACAGAAGGGCACATTTGTACGTCAGTGCTCATAGGAAGGGCTTGGAACAGAACCCACAGGTGAGCTCAGGTGTCACCTGGGGCAGGGGTGGCATTAGCTAATACGCTTTCTAGTGTCCTTCTAAAGGAAGCAAGATGTTTAATTATTTCTGCTGGAGTCCAATGAATCAGATGAAGTCAAGATCTCTAGCTAGCATCTAGAAGTTAGAATTATGAGCAGGTCATTCCAATTTTAGAGGGGAAACTAGAATTTATTAACGTCTGCTATATGCCCACTGCCCCCCGTATGTTAGCTCCGTTAGCCCTCCCTACAGCTCTGGAAGGTGGTTCTTACTCTGCTTTTATAGATGAGGAAATGGAAGCACAGAGAGGTTAGGTAACTTGCCTAAGACCACACAGCTTGAAAGAAGAATAGCCACGAGTTCAGCCCCTACTGCCTTTTACCTCCTAGCAGGCAGATCATGGAGGAAATGGGATGCTGGTGACTGTCCCTGGATTAACTGAGATCTCTGTGGGCACCGGGCAAGGTGGTGTTGGATCTGACGGTGAGCAGCAGGGGGAGGCGACTGCTTTATTTTCATGAGCAGAATGACCGGTGTGCAGCACCATGGGGCGCACGGCGCCGGGATTGTCTCAGGAAGCGAGTCCCAGCCGTTTCGGAAGCTCAGTCGCTGTTGTTGACAGACCTGGGCCTTGGGGTCACACAGAGGAGCCTCACTGCTGGATTGATAAAGAGACAGGAAAGCGTCGTGGGCTCAGATTTTAGGTGGACACATAAGTCTGCAGGTTTCCCTGTGTCTGTGAGCCTTTTAAGATAAGTGGGTTTTCGCCTTTTGGGCAAACCTTTTGATAACCTGGTCTTAAGAAAAGAAAGAAAGAAAGGAAGAAAAAAGGTGGGGGAGTCACTTCAAGGAGAGGCGGGAGCTGGACTGTTTGTCTTGAAAGGGGCTGGAGGCCGGCGTCTCCGGCCTTAATCCCCGGGGAAGGGCCGGTGGGCTGAAGGAGGCGACGCTGTCCAGGCCCAGGCCCCCAGGCCCCCGGCCCCTGCTTGTTTATTTTGCCTGCCCCCTCTCCTCCCTCTCCGGCAGACGGGTCCTCAGGCGACATTCTTAGGATGCTCTTGGTTTTCTTTGTCCGTCTGGAAATGGCTTTTTAAATGGGGCTTTTCATTTACTGAAGCTTAATGCTCTCGTCAGGGGCAGTCCCCCTTTTTGGTAAAACACCATTAAGAAAGAACCTAAGGCAACCCTTTTCCTAACCCAAAGCTTCAGCTTGGCCGGATAAGTGAGCATTATCGAAACAACAACTGTAAAAATGCTCCGTTTGCAGAAGTCGGCAGCCGCCCGGAGAGAGGCTGCCCGGCTTTAGGGCCATGACTGGACACCGTGCCCTCGTGCCCACGTGTGAGCGCAGGCAAGTCACCCAGGCTCCCGGTTTCCTCGTATATGGGGGGGGGGGGCTGTGCTGTAGCTAAAAAGAAATAAAAAGGAGACTGTCACAGAGCCCTACACGCTGTAGCCGGAGGAGAACGGATAGCCGTGTCTCCCCTACAGAAGAAAGAAGGTGGGAAGTAGAGGTGATGATAAAGTGATTATTTTAAGAAGTTTGGGGGAAAAGGCCAAGAAATTAGACCAAAAGGGAAATGGAAAGAGGGTCATGTAAACAAAGGGCTAATTTTAATGAAATAGACAACACACGGAAACCATGGGAGGAATATAGATTTAAAGGGTGGTCCTTGGGAAGGAATGAATATTAGAGATTTAACCATATCCCATATGGCCCCGGAGAAATGTCTGAGCGGATCGCTGCCCCTTCGCATAGTGGAATCTGATGCAGCCATTGAAACTGACTTCAGCCCTGGCTGGCCTGGCTCAGTGGTTAGGGCGCGGGTTCGATTCCCGGTCAAGGGCATGTGCCTGGGTTGCAGGTTTGATCCACGCCTCCAGTGGGGGCACATGTGGGAGGCCACCAGTGGATGTGTCTCTGTCTCTCTCTCTCCTCCCTCCCTTCCACTCTTTCTGAAAATCAATAGAAAAAATATACTCCTCAACTGAGGATTAAAAAAATTAAAAAAAGAAATTGTTTTCAAAGCAGTTGTGAGAGGATTGGGTGAAATGCTTACGTCAAGTTAAAAAAGCAGGATAAAAAATTGTGTTCTAGGGTGATTGTAGCTGTGTGAACACAATCGCCGGTCTCCCTCCCACCCCCAGGCTCTGAAGGGAGTTCAGCCTGGGAAGGAATATGTCACCATAGGAGTGAAACAGTGGCTTGAGCTACAGGCAGGGGAACCTCGAATCCATCGTGCTGGCTGACGGGCGGTCACAGGAGACCATGTACCATATGGTTCCATTATAATGAAATCTCCACAGTAGGCAAATCTACAGAGACAGAAAGCGAATTAGTAGCTGGCTCGGAGGGGCAGTTTGGGGGTGACAGGTAAAGGGCGTGAGGTTTCTTTTCGGAGCCAGGAAATGTTCTAAAACTGATCATGCGCTGGTTGCACAGCACCGAGAATACACTATACACCTTTGAATTGTGCACTTGCGGTGGGTGAATGGTATGGTATGTGGATTATATCTCAACCAAGCTGCTACCAAAAAAAAAAAAAAAAAATCACAGTGCTTATCTCGGGAAATAAAAATATCTGCGAAATTTTCCTTGCTTTCCACCCTCTTTTGTACTTCCCAGATTTCAGATATAATTCTGCGTCACTTGTGTCATGAGGACATAGTCAACCAAAAACCAATTTAAAGGAAGAATGTGAATAATCGGCCTTTTAGCAGCAAAGACAATGATGGGAAATCGGTAGCCTGCCTCCTGGGAAGCCGGGGGAGGCTGAGTGATCCTAAAACCCGGGGCCTGGCTGTCATGGATCACTGGATTGTCACACACAGGGTGGTGCAGGGCCATTCCTCTGCCAGTCCAGGAAAATACGGCCTCACTGGCCTGGGGGTCTCTCAGGGGCAGGATCACAACTGGGGGAAAAGCTAGGGGGGCGGTCTGTGAAAACTGAGAGCCGATTTCTAGTAAAATATCCTAAGAGGTGTGGGGGCTGCCCTCCGAGTGCTAAACCGGAGAAGGCTCTGACTTATATAACTTCCTGTAATTGCCCGGTGCTGGCTGTGGCGGGGACCCTCCCGCTCCTCCTCTCTGCGGAGCGGGGCTTTGCCTCTGCTTTGGGCTTCGTGCGCGGGTCCCTCCGTCTCTTTAACCGAAACTGAAATGCCGTTTTGAACAGAGGACTCCCGGCGTCTCTGGAAGATGGGAAACTCCTACGCGGGCCCGCTGAAGACCGCGCGGTTCGAGGAGCTGCTGCGCAACTCCATCGAGGCCTCGCTGCGCTCCAGCAGCCTGGCGCCCCGGCCCGTCTTCTCCCAGCTCTACCTGGAGGCCGAGCAGCAGCTCGCCGCCCTGGAAGGTACGCCACGCGTTTGTGCATTTGTTTCTTCCACGCTCGGAGGCTCACGTCGGCCGAAGAGCCCGGAGCTCTTCCCTCCCCTGCTCTGTGTAGAAAATGTTGAGTCTGGCAGAAAAGAATTGTTAGAGGAAGGACATGGCACATGAATTCTTACTTGGCTGCAACTGAAGTAGGTTTCAGCCCCAAGGTGGCAAAGAGTAAAATTGTTCACGGGGCTCGTAGGAGACAGGAAGAGGGTGTGCTGTACTGTTGCGAATCGGTCGTGACTTAGGAAAAGGTTCGACCTGTTCACTTGAATAAGAAATCTTAAAGTGCTTTGGACCCTCGGCTACTTTTCCCCTGTCTGTCTGTGATTCGTGGCCCTATCTTTACAAAGCCGTCTGGGCAGTGTCTCTGGAGATAGCAGGTACAAGAACCCTCTGGAGACTAAAAAACCAAGAACAAACCTTTGTGATTTTCACATGTGCCAGGAATAAATAAATTATCTTCAGGCCTGGGGGCAACGTTAGGGTTTACTTAATTATCCAGAGAATAAAGTGGTTGTATTTTCTAGCCGTTAGTTTACTTTTTTACAGCCAGGTGTTGTCCTGTCAAAAGCGACCCCATGGCAATCCATAGCACGAGGCGGTTCCCTAATGAAAGTTCTCTCTTTGTTTATGTCTTTCACTTGAAGTCACCTGCAGACTTCACTTAGCTGTTGAAGTGACATGGGGCTGGGGTTTGAAACAAACAGTAATTAACTAATTGAACAGGAAAGCGTGCAGTGTGCCAGGTCCTGTGTTGGGGCGGTCATGGTGTGTATGTGCGTGTGTGTACATATGGGCCTGTGTGAGCATGTGTGTGCACGTGGGCCTGTGTGTGTGCATGTGGGCCTGTGTGCATGTTCGTCCGTGTGTGTGTGTGCATGCAGGCCTATGTGTGTGCGTGTGGACCTGCATGCATGCATGTGTGTGCGTGTGTGAGCCTGTGTGTGTGCACGTGGGCCTGTGTGTGTGCATGTGGACCTGTGTGCATGTTCGTCCGTGTGTGTGTGTGTATGCAGGCCTATGTGTGTGCGTGTGGACCTGCATGCATGCATGTGTGTGCGTGTGTGAGCCTGTGTGGGGGGTGGGGGCGGGCAGGTGGACGGCAGCATATAGTGAGAAACGAGGCACCTGGGGCTTCCTTAGCCCAGCAGGGAGATGTTCCCGTGTCACCATTGAACTCGTTCTTACTGAATTAACCTGTGGACGGCAGCAGCCAAGGGCCTGAAAGACCTGGATCTGGGTCTGAACAGACGGTCAGAAGCATGAAGTAGGAGGTACCAAGAGTTCTCTCAGGTTCACATCGAAAGTACCCCCGGTTTCTGGGGTACAAAGCATTCCTGTGACGTTGTGGGGAGAGGGAAGTAACCGGAGACTATCTTGTAGGCTGTGTTTTTGGCTGGCAGAGAGACGTGGGAAATATGTGTGAAATATCACCCTTACCTTCTGACAGCACTGTAGGGCTTTGTTGCTAATGATAAATGAATGATAATAGTAATGAGCAATAATCTAGTGCATTGGAATGCACCTTAAAATCTACAAGGAGCTTCGCCCCCACCAGCTGAAGGATCGGGAACCCCAGGCTTTGGGAAGACGGCAGGCTGGTTGCTTGAGGTTTGGAAGGTGCTCAGCTGGGGGAGAGGGAGGAGCTGTTGGAGGCCCCATAGCTTTTCCTTATGTTGGAGCTTTTCCTTATGTCTGAGATCCCCATAGATGCTTCCTGGCCTCAACCTGGGAGGCTGCCTCCCGAATGCCTGATTTCTCAGGATGCCCCGGTGTGCCCACAGGTGCCAGGCAAGCGATCCTGTCCAGGGACGGTTTCGAGGCGTCCCCCCGTGCGCCCGTGTTGAGGGCTGCAGGCTCCCTGCCGGTGGTTGGCCCCCTTGCTCTGCCCTCCCGTTGGTAGGAAAACCACAGAGGCCTCTCTCTGCTTCTCCCGCCCGTTCAGCAGACCGGATAGAGACAGCCTCTGAGACGTTTTCCTAGTCGGGGGAGCTTGGTGGGCAGGGGAGCCTCTCGGTTTGCTAAATGTCGCCATAAACCGAGCCCCGAGCCCCAGCCCCCGGCGTCTGCCTGTAGCCCGGTGCGGAGGCTGTGCAGGCTGAGGCTTGTTTTGTCTGCTGTGTCCGTCAGGGCCTCTTATCTTATCTCCACCTTCCCCGGACCATATCATTAAAGATGTTTTTTATGACCAGGGAGCTGGGGCACTAAACACTCCTGGCTCAGTTAACGGCTTCTGTGTTTGTGCTGGTGACTTAACCGGGGCCTGGTTACTTTGTTCTCGAAGGAAGGGTCTCACTGCTCCCTTCTAGGGGAAACCCGTTTATGTGTTATTTATTTTTTAAAAAGAAAGACCAACGAAACTAAAAATATACAGCCCAGCACTTGGAGGTAGGTGTTTGTTAAAGAAAACGCTGGTACGTTTCTGTAGTCCCCGCTCCCCAAATGTTGTACAGTTTCTTCTCGTGGAAAGAGAGACTATTTACTGTGCGTGTTGGAGGAGCAGCCACACCCAGGAGGACAGCGCCGCCTTGGACCCCCGGGGCCCTGTTGTATTTGCAGTCCTGAGGCCCCCATCCAGTTGGTTGTGTCTGGCGCCCTTTTCGAGCTCCCCTCCTCCCGGAGACCTTGGTAAATGGTCTGGTTTTGTCCCTCCTGGGTAGCAAGTGTCCTCGGCTTGTCCCTGGCTGACTCACCCCCCCAGAGGCCCTGGAATGTCTCGTAGACCTTTAACCTTTAACCCTGCTTCCTTAGGGACTGGATTTGAGCTCTTTCTTTGACTTTCTGAGGCTTAAGACCCTCCTCTTTCATTCTTTCTGAGGGTCTGAATTCCTGAGCTTTGGGGCTCAGCAGAAAAATGTGCAGACCTTCCCGGGTGTGCCCGCGGTGCTTCCAAGACTTTCTCTCCCCTTTTCACTCCCATCCTCGGTGTCTCCGCCGTCCTCTCTGAGCCTCTGGGTGCTGGCTCGGAGGGGTCTGGGTTTTGCAGAAGAGCTGTAGGTGGCCAAGGACAGTTTGAGTGCCCATGGTGAGCTGTGTTGTGTTGCTGGGGCCTGGGGCCTGGGTGTGGCTCTATCCCTTCTGCTCAAAGCCCCCACCTGCCTGCATTTAATGGCAGGAAGGAAACATCTCAAGGAGGCTCCACAGTTATTTCCTGCCCCTGTTAACCTCCCTGGGTAATCTTTTTACACTCTTCCTGCCACCTCTGTGTCCTCTAGGCCCAGAAGGACAGAGACACCAGGATTCTTGCTTCCTTCCTGCTGTGACCTTCCCAAGGTCACAGGTCCGAGCTGGCTTGAAATATCCACGAGCGTGGGCGTCGGGCCTCTTGTCCCTCAAGCACCTGTAAAATTGTGGCTGCTGTGAGGCTCTGTTGCGGGCACCTGTGCTGATTAAATCACCCCTGGAGTATTCTGAGGGCATTATTTCCCCACATAGTCTGTCCCAGCTCAAAGTGACCTCCTTTTCCGATGCAGGCTCCGGCGAACAGAGAGGTTAAGTAACTTTCCTGCAGCCACACAGACAGTGGGAAACACAAGCCCTATAACTTGAGTTTCCCCATTCCTACTCCCATCTCTTTCTACTGCACACGATTTCATCACTGACCTAAACCCACTTAACCCCCTGGCTGGAGGCTGTGAGAGCCGGAGAAGTGGCCACCAAGAAGCCAGCCCGAGCAGAGGACATGGAGAAACAAGGGAGAAACCATCGTCTCCTAGACTAGCGTGTTTAAGGGTGTTCACAGTGACCCTACGTCATGAAGAAATGTGTATGCTGTTTATTAAGTGATATGTAAAGACAAGTGGAGAAAGATTTTTTTTACCCAAAATGTCTGTTAAAAGAAGTTAGAAGGACTATATTTCAACAGTCTTGAAAATTTATCGATTTGCGCTCCCCCCTTTCTCTAGTGACACTTTGGTAAATGAGGTGTCGCTGTGCATGCAGGTGTCACCTGAGGCATGTGGCTGGGACCTGGGTGACAGAGGTGAGGAAGGGCAGGTCCCACTCTGCAGGAGCTGAGAGTCTGTAGGGAGCGGCAAGAAGCTGCCTGGCAGAGCTCACACGCAGGGAGCCGTGGGGCTTCCACGCTGATTGACGGCTCTCCTGGCCAGTTCCCCGTCTGACATTACTCCTAAAATACGAGTTCCCCGAGCTCCTAACAGGCCTTGCCCTGCGTGGACGGCCCTTTGTGTGTGGGTGTGACAAGTTGGGGTGTGTTTGTATTTCCGGTAACGATACCCGGGTTCCTCCCTCGGGTAAACAGGAAGGCCTTGCCCCCGCGCTCTCGCGCCCTGAGAGGGCCGGTCCCGCTGTCCTGCGCTCTCGACGGCGCCGCAGCTGGTGGCGAGGCCGTGAGCGTGGGCGTCGGGCACACCTGGGAACGTGCACCTGTGCGCCTTCGCTTTTCACTGAACAGCTGAGGGCCAGTCACGGGCCGCTGCGCCTCAGTGGCCTTCCCTGTAAAAAGGTCGATTTTAACAGCACGGTGCCTCCCACACAGAGGTTCTTAGAGTGCCTGCTCCGTGCAGGTTTCATGCTCTGTCTTTTCTTTCTCTCTCTCTCTTTTTTTTTTTTAAATATGTCTTTATTGATTTCAGAGAGAGGAAAGGAGAGGGAGAGAGAGAGAGAGAAACATCAATGATGAGAGTCATTGATTGGCTCCAGCCCACAACCCGGGCATGTGCCCTGACCGGGAATCGAACCCTGATCGCCTGGATCCTAGGTCGATGCTCAACCGCTGAGCCACGCCCGGCCGGGATCTCTCTCTTTTTTTTTAATCTTCACCTGAGGATATTTTTTCCATTGCCTTTTAGAGAGAGAATGGGGGGGGAGAGAGAGAGAGAGAAACACTGATGTGAGAGATACATCGACTGGTTGCCTCCCGCGTGTGTCCCGATGGGGGTGGGCGGGGAGGGAACCTCCAGCTGAGGCACGTGCCCTTGACCAGAAATGGAATCGGAGACCCTTCGGCACAAAGGCCGATGCTCTAACCACTGAACCACACTGGCCGGCCTGCTCTTTTTCAACCCATTATATACGGATCGAACCCTAGTGCATGTGCAGACGCACACAGCTCTGATGGATGGGAAGAGGCGTGACCCTGAGTTTGAAGTCCTAAGACTGGGAGCCTAACCCTGTGACCTTGGCAGAGCCATGGACCTGAGCCAGCCCCCGCTTTCCCTCTAGGAGACGGGGCGTGGGGTGGGGGGGGGATGCCTGACCTGCCGTGGGGCTGAGGACTGATCAGTGACTCGGCAGCGGAGCCTGGCTGAGTCCTTTCCTCTGCCTCCTCCCCTCTCCTCTCCTCTTTCTAGGTGGAAGCCGAGCTGACAATGAGGAGGAAGAAGAGGGGGAAGCGGGGCTGGAGCCGAGCTGCCCCCCAAACCCCTACCAGATGCACCCTCCCCCCGAAGGATGCTGCACCACGGACGGTGAGCCTGCCAGCCCTGCCAGGCAGTGCCCACTGCCCGGCGTCTGCGGCTGTGTGCTGCGGGCGTCCCCTGTGCCCAGGCCCCCAGCGGGCAGCGGCCCGGGTGCCCTCTCGTACCTGTGGCGTTGGCTACTCCACGCCCTGGGGGCTCGGTCAAGCTCACAGCCCCTTGGCCAGGTCATGGACAGCCTCAACGTCTCCCCGTGGATTCAGAGCCCCAAGTTCACTTTTCTATATTAGTTACTTTAAGACTAAAATCTATTTCCCCAGCTCAGGTGTGGTTGTGCCGCACGCATGTTTAACTCAGACCTGATGGGTAGGAATAATCTTTCACATCTGTTGGCATTTTACTGTTGAAAAGCAGATACTTGTTATCTCAGGAAGCCTGTAAAATCAGTAATGTTAATCCCATGTTGCTGTGGAGAAACTGAGGCGTGGAGACGCCTGGTGGGGTGACAGCTTGGTCCAGGGGTAAGCGCTTGTGCTTGGCACCCAGGGACACCTGGATAAACTCCGGGCTCTGCCACTCACTGGCCAGACCGCTTCCGAATTCATCCGTCCTGTCACCAGAACGGTCAAGAGGTGTCGCTAGTTAGTGATTTGGTCAGTTAATTAATTAAAATCATTGAGCCCCTGCTCTGGAAACATGGCAATAAAAGGTACCAGAGTTCTCGTGCTGATGGAGCATTCTAGGCAGGCGGACACTTCCACAGGATGTAGAAGGTGCTGGTAGGGTGGGCTGGGCAAGCAGGAGTGTGTGGGAGCGCAGGAGGGGTTCCTCACACAGGCAGGGGAAGGCTTCCTGGAGGAGGTGGTCCCTTATCTGGGTTTCAGAGAATTCGCAGGAGTTAGCTGGGAGACTGGTTGAGCTGGGACCTTCCAGGCAGAGAACAGCATGTGCTAAGGTTTAGCAGGGTGAGGATATGGCCCGTTTGGGGAACTGCCAGCAGTGTATTTAGATGGGGGCCCGAGGTGGCAGGGCAGGGCTTGGAGGAGTGATTGGGTGGGTTGTGGAGGCCCCTGCACCTGCATGTGGGTCTGGACTGGACCTTGAGCAGGACGGTGGGCCGGGGAGGAAATCGGCCCTCATGGGGGCTGCTTCTCCAGGAAAAGGGAAGCTAATACATTGGCTCTTCAGAAGTAGGACTCCCAGAGTCCAAGTGTTAAAAGGGCACCGAGCTAAATAAGAAAATGGTCATTAGAGTGATTTTCAAAGAATTTCCAAGTAAATGCAGTAAACACATTGACTGCCCACAGCCTGTGTCTGCAGCTGCCCAGAAGGCAGGGTCACTCTGCAGACCAGGGGGGACCCAGGCTGTGGAGGTGAAGACCTGCTGGGTGCTTGACCTGAATCTCAGAGAATTTACTGACCTTCCCCAAGGGGATGAAGGGAACCACCCAAGCCTGAGAGGCAGACAGGGCCCATCCCGGCCCACCTCTTAGCAGCGTTGAGCCAATGGTTTAACCGCTGTGAGCCTCGATTTCCGCATCTTCGAACTGGGGGCAGAAACACTTCCCCCCGCGGGTGATCGACGGGAGCTTTGCAGAGCTTACCTGGCTGGTGCCACACACACAGGGCCCGCAGGTCTCCGTGTCCTGCCTTCCGCCTGGGGCAGAGGGACAGCTTGGAGACAGTGAGTTGTAAATGGCATGGCAGGTGCACATGGAGAAGTTTCTAAAGGGCTGCAGGTCCGCAGGGAAAGCCTGGGGATCTTCGGGGTTCTCGCTAACTCATAGTCTCAGTCGGTTGGAAACTAACGATAGAAGCAGCATTGGGGATCAGGCTAAATAGGCCTCATCAAGAACTCAAAGAAGAGCCCATCCAAAAACTCAGCGTGTCCCTTCTTCCTTTTTTCCCAGATAATTTTTGGACACTTTTTTTTTTTTTTCCTATTGACTTTAGAGAGAGAGAGAGAGAGAAACATCGATTTTTGTTGCTTCACTTATTGACGCATCATTGGTTGACTCTTGTATGTGCCCTGACTGGGGATTGAACCCGAAACCTTGGCATAGCAGGACAAGGCTCTAACCAATTGAGCCACCCATCCCGGGCCCGACACTTATTTTTTAAATAGGAAATATACATACAGGGGTGGGCATAAGCAGGTTTACAGTTGTGAGTACACGAGCCAGTTTATTCTTGCGTTATTTACTTATTAATGATCGTATTATTTATTTGTATTACCACTGTAAACCTACGCTAGCCCGCCCCTGTATTTAAAAGCTCTTAAGTACAAACGGTTACAGAGTGGAAGTCTATGCTGTGAGTCTCCCCATGTCCTGGGCCCCCAGACCCCTGCCCGGAGGCAGCCAGGTCACCAGGTCCTCACCCCTTATTCCTGCCACTCTCCTGTCCTCATTCCCGTGAAATGCCGGGCGTGAGAAGTATCATATCCTCGCGATTTCCTGCGGATTTGTCTTGTATACATTTTAATGTACCATCGTTTGTCTACAGTTTTTCCTGTTGAGCTTCATTTGTACAGTAACTATATGGTGACCCCGATCGTCATAAAAACATGGGGTTAAGTGTCATTAATAACCGTGGGTGTAATTTTACCTCCCAGAATTAATTTTTTTTTTTCTTGTTAATTCTCACCTGAGGATATTTTTTCCCATTGATTTTTAGAGAGAGTGGAAAGGAGGGGGAGATAGAGATAGAGATAGAGAGAGAGAGAGAGAGAGAAACATCGATGTGAGAGAGACACATCAATCAGTGCCTCCTGCACACGCCCTGACCTGGGCAGGGGGTTAAACCTGAAACCCAGGTACATGCCCTGGACCGGGAGTTGAGCCTGCGACCCTTCCGTGTGTGGACCAGCGCTCTAATCACTGAGCCACATTGACCAGGGCTCTCGGAATTTATTTTATTTTATTTTATTTTATTTTATTTTATTATTTTTATTTTTAAAATATATCTTTATTGATTTCAGAGAGAGGAAAGGAGAGGGAGAGATAGAAACATCAATGATGAGAGTCATTGATCGAGCCCACAACCCGGGCATGTGCCCTGACCGGGAATCGAACCCCGATCGCCTGGATCCTAGGTTGACGCTCAACCGCTGAGCCACGCCCGGCCGGGTGGGAATTAATTTTAAAGTCAACTACATCCAGAGGAAGGGGTTGGTCCCTGCCAGGCCCAGGATGCCCTCATCCGTCTGTCGTGTGGCTCCTGCTCCGGACACCCCCGGGCAGCGTGGTGAGCCCGCCCGTTCCTCCTAGGGTTCTGCCAGGCGGGGAAGGACCTGCGTCTCGTCTCCATCTCCAGCGAGCCCATCGACGTGCCAGCGGGCTTCCTCCTCGTGGGCGCCAAGTCCCCCAGCCTGCCCGACCATCTCCTGGTGTGCGCCGTGGACAAAAGGTTCCTGCCCGATGACAACGGGCACAACGCGCTTCTCGGTAAGTCCCTCCTTGCCCTTCTCCGGGGCTCTGTCCGTCCGCATGGTGGGCGGGGCCAAGGGAGGCCTCGGGGGTGGCGCATAGGCCACCTTTGGGGCCTCTTCGCCAGCACGTCACACACTGCTTATGCCTCTCGGTGGGCTGTTTCTTCGTGGGAGGGAATGGAAATGAGATTGATTGTAGAATGTACGACCTTCCTGTAGAAAGCCTGTCATTTAGCACTCGTCCTTTGTACCTGCGTTCGTCACACCTCCCCTACGTGCTTACCCGTGTCAGGAATGGGGTCCAGACCCCGTCCTAGACCCTCCCAGGAGCGATCGATGGGGCGCAGAAGGAGGGGAAGGCTGGGTGCGGGCTCCTGCCTGCGGGGCGCGCATACCCCGGGGCCCTGCCCGCTCCCTCCGTCAGTCCCTTCTGTGGTCTGCCTCTGACCGCTCGAGGCCTGTCGTTCTCATACTGGCTTTATAGGTGGGCTCGGACCTGTTAATGAACTTGCCCGAAGGTTCACGGGAAAAGGAACCGGGTCCGGATTGAAGCTCAGCTCTTCCTGGCTCCAAATTCTAGCCTTTCCTGCCCTGGCCGGTTTGGCTCAGTGGTTAGAGCGTCGGCCCACGGACCGAAGGGTCCTGGGTTCGATTCTGGTCAAGGGCATGTACCTCAGGTTCCAGGCACAACCCCGGCCCTGGCCGGGGCGCGTGTGGGAGGCAACTAATCGATGCGTGTCTCTTTCTCTCTTCCCCTTCCACTTGAGGATTGAAAAAAAAACAAATTCTACCCTTTCCTGAACGATCATACCTCATGGCCTGTATCCTAGTCAAGGTCACCACGCCTTTGATCTTTCAAATAACCGGCCGCTCACGGAGACCCCAATGTCTGTGGAGACCCAGATGTCCGTGCAGAGTTGAGGCCAAGCTTACCAAGCCTGGCTCTGTTTGTTTGGACAGTTATTGAGCTCTTACTGTGTGCCAGGCCCTGTGCTCAGCACACTGCTGCATCAGGAGAGCAGAAATCAGGGGAGACTCGAGGTTTGGATTGAGAACCCAGAGAGCTAGGTTCCAGCCCTGCCTGTGACCACAGCTTGCTTGTGGTGGCCGGGCCTCAGTGTCCTCACCCACAGGTGGGGAGGCCATGCCCACGCGTGCTCCCGGCCCCTCCGCCTGGCCCCGCGTTTCCTTGGCAATGATCTATTGCAGATGTAGCCTCGGGAACAACCTTCGCTGTGGAAGCCAGTTTGATTATGAGAGTTTATGGGAAAAACTTCTAGGTGAACTATGTGTACAAACATTTAAACTTCCAGTTTTGTGCTGGGTGGGTGAGCACACTTCAGGGGATATTTACTGAGCACATTTTCTGTCTGGGGCACTGTGCTCA